GGGGCGGGGGGGGGCGCGGAGGGGGGCGAGGTGGAGGGTGGAGGTGATGACGACAGGAGTAGGGTTGCCAGGCGGGGCTGGCCGCCGTGTTTGTCACTCCCGTCGCCACGACGTAGTCGTCCGGCTCGTCCTTTTGCATCATCATCCACATCATCTCGACCTAAAAGGCGCAGCACGTCCGGTCGAGTCAGCATCCAGAGAGAAAAGATGGGTGGTTGAACACCTCCCCTATGTGTGTGTGTGTGTGTGTCTCCGCCGTTCATGGAGGCAACCGATGCGAGTCGACTGGTGTGTGTCGTCGTGGTTTCGTATCAAGAATACTCACTCACTCACCTCCCTATCTCTCCGGCTGCGCGCCTGACCGGTGCGGCCTCCGAGTCGGCGTCCTCTGGGGGGGCGCGGGGGCCCCCGGAGGCACCGTGCGCCGCGCAGCAGTACGGAAATGGGGCTCCGGCTCCGTTAGTCTCCGTTAGCACCAACTTCCCGATTAAGTACGGTTAAGTAGAGGGCAGATTTGGAGATAACTCGAGGAGTCCATACAGATAGACCCTCCAACCATCAGAAAACTCCGACCTGATTGGTCGTACTGACCGCCGACAGATCACTCCAGACAGCAGACAGGCCGACGTCTGCACACGGCCGGCCGGGCGAGAGGCTTGACACGATCCGACCCTGCGAGACCCTGACGCTGCTGCTCTAGCTATCAGACATGCACTGCTGACTGCTGCCACAATGTGCGACCGGTGCTGGCCCACTTGGCGGCCTTCCCGGTCAGTGGTGAGGCGCAGTTCAGAGCTGTCGATGGCGCGATGCCGCACTGGTCCCACATTGGTAACACGAGACCACCACGTTTGCCGGTCCAAGAGAGAGGCACTGGTGCTGTCCTGAGAAGGTGCGTGGTCCCTCTTGACTGCCCTGCGCGCGAGGCTGTGTAGGCATAGCCTCGAGAGTGCCAGCAGCCAATCCGAGGCGACGCGCATTGCGTCAGAAGCGTGCACACGTTGGAAGGACACCTTCCGACTGGCCGTACGATCAGGTCGTCACTGAATGCTTGATACTAAGGCCGCGAGCTATGCAGGTGATCAATTGTGCAGCATGGCACGGTCAGCAGCGCCGACAGGCTGTCGCAAGGCGTGATAGCATGGCCGCAAGTACGCCGAATTCCCATGAAAAAGTGAAAAATCGCGCAAAAAAACCGAAAAAATCGGCGCCTGCGGCGGGCCATGGGACCCCATCGCCCCCCCGCATGGATACCCTCTAGGGCCCCCGCGCCCCCCCAGAGTCGGCGTCAAGCGCGCGTGGGACCCCGTGTTGCGTGACTCTCTGTCTGTGTGCGATTTCGGGCCCCTGGGTTGTGCTTTTATGTGAAGATGCCCTTTAGTTTGACTTAGTTTGCGTTGTATGTTTCTTTTCGACCCTCCGATTTTACAACATGAGAAGAGAAAAGGGGGGGAAAGGGGGAAAAGGTCACACGCACCTCAACCTCGCATAGACTAGTGCGCAGTGGGGAGAACGAGGCCTGTGAACCATCCCCAGGGCCTCCAGGGCTCGCACCTCAACCTCTCACAGACCAGCGCATAGCGCCACTGGACGTATTTTCTTCTCATAACAAGGCTGTGAACGAGAAGCGGCCGCCGGGGAAACTCGTCCGTCCCCGCGTCGACGTAGCGAGCTCGGTGAGGCCGAGTCGTGTAGCTCGCATGCCTTTGACACGCGCCGAGATCATTGCATTCCTCCTCGACAATGGGGTCGACGCCTCTGATATCCGAGTGGCTGAGGGCCGTGGTTTCGACGCTCTCGACGACCTTGCAGCAGGCGTCGGTTGCATGTTGGAGGATGAGGCGGCAGTGCGGGGCGTCCTGAAGCGCGCGAGGGTGCAGGCTGCGGCCAGAGAGAGAGAGAACATGCAACGGCGCCGATCTGAAATGGATGCACAGCTGCGGCCGCTCTCGGCCTCCGAGCGTCGCAGGTTCCGCGATGCCTTTGACCGCTTCGATGCCGACGGCTCTGGCGCACTGACCCAGCGCGAGTTTGGACGAGCGATGAAGGAGTCGGGCATGTTTCCTTACAGGTACGAGCTCGATGAGCTCTTCTCTGAGTGCGACAAGGACCGCTCCGGCACCATCGAATTTGACGAGTACTGCCGGCTGGTGCAACTCTACCGCACAAAGCAGTCGTGCCTCGAGCGCTTCTGTGAACGCGCCATCGACCTCTTTCCCTGCAAGCCCGCCACCCAAGGGTCGAAGCGACGGAGACATCGTGCTGAAGCAGCAGCGGCAGAGCGAGGGGTAGCGATGCAGGCGAAGCCTGCCGGGGAGGCGGAGGGTGACGGTGAGGATGGCAGTGCCGCGCAAAAACCGCACGTTGTGAAGTATCATCACGCAAGCGAGCCCTCGAAGGAGTCTGCGGTGACGCTGCTGCAGCGGTGCGTCCGCGGCCGCTCGGCAAAGCTGGAGCTGGCGGTGCGGCTTGCACTGCGGCGCGCCGATCCAGGGTCGGTCGCGGCGGCGCGAGCGAGCCGCGGCCTCGACGCATGGGCCGCTGTGGTGCATCAGCTGCTCGGGCCTGCTGCGTGGGTGCGCGCGTTGCACAATGCCCCGGACCGCTGGGAGGAGTCGGACATGATGGCTGCCATGGACTCGGG